CAGTCATACGATGAAATATTTACAAAAAAAAAATATGGATGCAAACAAATTTTCAACATTGAATACACATAGAGCCATGTGAAGTATGATTCAAAGAATTTGTAGGAAAACATGATTATCGATACATATATTAAAAAAGTATGTAAATCTTGAACCCAAAAAACTAAACGATGGCTCAGTACAAATTTTTAAAGTGGAAAAAACAATGTCTTATGATATTATTATTGACGAATCACGTATCACCTTTTGGCGAAATTCGTCTACATTGTTTTTTCTTATTTAGACGCAGGAAAACAATCTCCCATAACCCTGACTCTTTCCTCGGGTGAATTTCACCTCGGAGGAAAAAAAAAAAAAAAAAAAAAAACCATTAGCTCCATATGTTTGTAAAACAACTGTCAACTTTGACACCTAGAATCCCCACTGGCGCGCTCGAGCCGAGACAAAGTAGTGACGCTGCAGGAAGATGGCTCGGGTCGCTGCAGCGACGGTTCGCCCAAGATCCATCAGCATCCGTCCGTACCACCCCCACCTCCTCCCACGTCTTCCACCAGCACGGCCACCTCCACCACTGTGGGGGACTCCACTGAAAAGTATCCAGATGAGCAACCACAGAAGCTACAAAACGACCAACAACAGCACAATGAGGGGGACAGCGAGGGGGTGCCTACGGGGATCTTGCAGGACGAGGTCGCGAGGAAACGCGAGCTGGCCCTCCGGCAGTACGCGTTTTTTCAGCTCAGGCTGCACTTGAGGCGGGGCGCAAGCCTCGTTGCCATGGATCGATGCGGTGAGTCTTGAGGATTTTTGCCTGATTTATTTTGCCAAGGTACGCTTCGTGAGCTCCAACTATTGTCATCGCTATGCTTTTGTAATCGTTTGTAGACATTTTTACGTTTTATTAGTTAATTCGTATCACTAAAGAGAGTCTAATTTTTAATACATTTTTTTTTATATTAATTCTAATTAAATAGTATTACGGTGAAAATATTTAATTCCAATTTCATGTAATTAATTTTAAAAAAGTCTTGACCTTGCAATTGTACGACGAATCTGTGGAAAATAAAGGAAAACCAATTTCATCCACGACGTATCAGCGATGTGATTGGTACATTTTATTTATTTTTTTTTTTAACAATTCGATAATGCCAATCAACTGCACTGCTCATCCAGAAAATATCTTCAAATTATCGACATTTGAGTTATCTTTCCATGCGCCGACAAACAAAAACACGTATTTTATAACAAACATTTGAGAGATAAACGATCGCAGGATAATTTTTCTCTCCCAACACTCGGGAGAGGGGAGGAATAAATTTTTGCAAAACCAGTCCCGCCAACAGCGTGTATTTCGTGCTTATCAAGCGTTTACTTATTTATACGGCCTACTTTCCCCCCCCCCCCCCGAGTCTCCGTATAATCAATCTGCGTTTATTTTCCACCCCTCCGCGATGGATTTAATTCCAGCAGCTTTTCACGTTTATTTGATTGATGCTGTGGCGTGACTTTATTTCGACCGAAATAACGTTTGTTGCATCTGTTATTCATGCAATACAATAAAGAAAATGCATGTATGCAAGTATGTGCCAGTTGCAAAAAAAATCACAAAAACATCAGTTTTCGCGTGGATGAGAAAAAGTTTATAATCACCAAACAGAGGAAATAACGAGTGACCTATGGAGATGGACATTTGCTGAAAGCACAGTTGATGAAAGAGAGTGAGGAGGGGGGGGGGAAGCTCGCAATTCCTCTTGAATTATATTCCATAAAGGCTTTTCATGCTGTTGTGTGTACTTGCAAAACAACAAGCTCAGACTGCCAGTCTCTATGGCGCCACATCAAAGCACCCACGCACAACAGAGGAAATAGAGGGTTTCATGATTGAATGGGGAGCTTTGGATTTTCGCTGCGAATGTGTATGTATACGAGCTCAAATGTCGTCGTTCCAGATGCATATATACCTCGTTCAAATGGGTTCTTTTCTCTTTTTTTTTTCTTTTTTTTTGCTCTTTTTTTGTGCTGACATTTCAACGAAGGAAAAATTCGAGATGGTGCTTTTTTCGCCAACCTTCCTCCTGGTTTTTTTACAGTTTCGTTTTTAGAGAATTTTTTTATTGCATAGGATTTTGGAATTGGAGAAAATATTTGTCAATTTCAATTTAATCGCTGTTTAATGTGATTTTGCGATTTACGTGCATTAAAAGCTAGTACTTATTTCGTTTTATTTGATCCACCAGCGTGGCAGATGTACCAATTTATAGAAAATCACTCGGCAGCGATTGGAAATCAATATTTGGCCGTAAGCGAATCTCTGTAATGGAGAACATAAAAATCGCCTTACGAATTATGATTTCAAGCTTTTTATTTTGAAAATTGAAAATCGATGCTATTCCTTTTTTGTGTGAACATAGCATGATAACAATAACTAAAGTGCATACTAAGTATTTTTTTTCTCCCACGATGGTGAAAAAAATTTTCTACTGTTCGCAGGAGCCAGCGATCCTTATGTAAAAATCAAATGCGCCGGTCGCTTATTGCACAAGTCGCGCACGGTTCATCGAGATTTGAATCCGGTGTGGGACGAGAGCGTTACATTGCCGATTGAGGATCCCTTCCAACCTCTTAATTTTAAGGTTTGTCCTGAAAAGGGATTTTTGATGCATTAAATGTCTAAGGTTTACTTGTAAATTTTTTTATTTTTGAATACTGTTGGTTGATTGTCAGAGTATTTTATAGTCATGATTGGGCACAATTTTTTCATGGATTTCCAAACATTAAAAATAAAGTTAATTGCCAAAAACATGAATTATTATTTTAGAAGCAAAATTTTATAAGTACTCACATATATTTATATTTACGCAATATTAAAAAAGTATTTGCAGCACAAAAAATGCGATACGTTTTGAAAAAATAGAAATAAGTCTTGATTATTTGAATAAATAATTCAACATTTTTTTAAAAAGTTTTTTTTCACAAATGTTTTTGGAAACACAACGCATAATTTTTGCTGATAAGACAAATCTAAGCTGTGGGTTATAATCAATATTAAAAAAAAAAAAAAAATTACAGGACAAGTAATATTGATGACATTTTTAGAAAAAAAATTTAATTACAAAGTATTTAAAAAAGTGTGCTGACTCTGCTATAATACGCAAGTGTTGTGCAAGCACATGTTAGAGAAATAGTTGGTTTATGAAATAAAGTGATTAAGTTTTTGGACGGCTTTATTGTATAAATGTTTTTTTGTTGAATTCATTTATTTATATATAGCACTAACATTATTGATGAATTTTAATAAACACATTTTCCTGTAGCAATCATTTATGGATTCTCTTTCTTAGGTTTTCGATTACGATTGGGGCTTGCAAGACGATTTCATGGGCGCGGCCTTATTGGATTTAACGCAGCTGGAATTAGGACAGCAAAAAGACATTACGTTGGAACTAAAGGATCCCAACAGGCCGCGGCAACATCTGGGAGAGATATTCATTTCTGCCACCCTCTGGCCAAGAAACCAGCAAGAAAAAGAACAGGTATTGTGAAAATAACGAATCTTGTATCAAACTACGTTTTTACATGATTTATTTTCAATCCGAACGACGCTATTATTAAATAAGAAATATTGTCATACGATGTGTGGTTAACAAGTTGATTTATCATAATCTTATACATGTCGTCTATTGGTACAAAATTTTAGTAATTAATTATTTTAACAGTCAACTGTGCATTAAACAGGAGACGAAGGGTATAGAAAATATACATTATTGTTATTGTTATTATTATTATTATTATTATCATCGATTTTAAATCTGAAAGCACGTATCTGTGTGGTTACAGTCATACGATGAAATATTTACAATTTTTCTATTATGAAATGTTTCTAAAATGAGAAAGTATTCCTGCTGATTTTTTCAAAGATCGCCAGTTACTTTAGGAAAAAAGTAGTGTAGAAAACCAATTAAATTCAGACAAGTCTGTGAATAAAAACACCAAAGACCCCCAATACCTTAAAAAAAATTGTCGAGCCGCAAAACGACTTCTGTTCGACCCAGTGAATTTTCCTAAGCGCGTAACCGATGGGGAGATTCGATTTTTTCCACACCAGCAAACGCCCCGTACTGAAACATCTACACGAAGCGACGTATGGCGATTAAGGTGGCGTGCAAATTTTATAATCAACAGCTCTGCCGGAAGCACTTGCCAAGCTCGCGTGGACCCTTTTCCTCGCAATGCGGAGCTCGAGCTTTCACCACGTGCGTTGCTGTTGTTGTTGGCTTTATGAATAATTTACCATCGCGTGGACTATCGCTATTATCGAGTTGGAGCCATTTTCGCGAGAGACTCCCCGCTTCTGGCTGCGTCTCGATTGTTTCCGTGAGATTTTGAGCTTTGGTGGAGATTTTTTCTTTTTTTTCTTGGAAATTACAATTTTTCAAGATCACACACTCGATGTGAGAGATGGGCTTAATCGCGATCTCGAATCAGCGGCTGCACGTATTTCACAATTGCTTTTGATCGAGGCTGAAACAAGTAGTTTCTATTTTTACGACTGCCTCTTGAGAATCGGAATATTTGAGATGTACTGACAAACTTGGGAATGATAGATTTTTTAGGCTTTGAAACGATTCAAATCCAAGTTTTGTTTTCGAAAATGTTAAGCAATATGTTTTTGCTTGAAAATTATTTTTCATCGCTATACTTGTGATACATTGCTCGATGAAAATTATTACAAAAAAAGTGTTATTTTTTTTAGAAAATATAGCTTGCCACAAGTTATCGGTACATATATTATTTAAATGGTTGGTTCCATTTTTTCTACAGGGGACATTTTACTGTGCAAGCGGTGACAAAAAGTAAATCGATAGCGTAATTTTTGCTCGGAAAAGTAATGGGTTAAAAAATGAGTTGCGTCCATCAGTAACGGTTCGTTAAAAACGTGTGAGTCGAAGCGTGATTATTAAAAGTCAGGTATCACTCAGATAAATTACCACTGATGGGTGTTGTGCTGTGGGGAGTGTGACACAATAATTATCGTCCAACATGATGGGTCATCTTTATTTTAAGAACTTATTAACTCTTACGTGAGGTAGTCAGATAATGACAGATTACTTTTTTTTTTTTTTTTTTTTTTTTTTTTTTTTTTTTCTTTTGGACGATTTCAAAATGATTTTAAAAAATTTCATAAGTCTCATGTGTATTTACTTGATGATGAGTAATAAAAAAAATCTGAAACCTTTGATATAAATACAATATTTTTCCCGTAGGTACAGATAAGTATAAAATATATACTTGCTGCTCTGATCAACATATACTTTTGAGCAATAAAAAAATTCTCCCTCAATACCATTAAAAATGTCGCGTCGCTAACTGCACGCATTGCATAATACGAATCTTAAAGCTGCGACTTACAATGCACGCGAGAGACTTGAATTTTTTTGTTTCAGAAGCACAGAGAAAAAATAAGAATAGGCGCATGTAAGGTACGGCTTAGGAAAAAATTAGTCAAGAAAGAGAAAGATGCTCTATTTGGAAGTGACGTGCTTTTCGGCATTTTTTTGAGGATCCGTGGCTTCTTTGTAAACTTGTCTGCACAGTGTTTGACGTTTTCTCGGGAGGATTATTTTTAGAATGCACGCGACCTGCCTAAATATGGGAAATTTTCCTCTTTTAAGTGGACTTTGATGTTTTTTTCTTTTTCGTTAAGTACTGAGTATTCTTAAAACGTTGCTATTAGCATGTGGTTCACATTTTATTGATTAATTTAAAAAATGCGCCACGAGGATAAAAAATTGCAAGTACTTTCATAGATATTGGAAAAGCTGTTACTAGTATGTGAAAACTATAAATAAAAAAGTGTTTGAAAAAAATTGATTTTTTAACTTAATAAAATTATTGTAAAAATAAAACAACAAATTTTAAAATGAATAATTACAAGCATTTTCAATCATTTTACTTTACATTTAAGGTTTGTCCTGAAAAGGGATTTTTGATGCATTAAATGTCTAAGGTTTACTTGTAAATTTTTTTATTTTTGAATACTGTTGGTTGATTGTCAGAGTATTTTATAGTCATGATTGGGCACAATTTTTTCATGGATTTCCAAACATTAAAAATAAAGTTAATTGCCAAAAACATGAATTATTATTTTAGAAGCAAAATTTTATAAGTACTCACATATATTTATATTTACGCAATATTAAAAAAGTATTTGCAGCACAAAAAATGCGATACGTTTTGAAAAAATAGAAATAAGTCTTGATTATTTGAATAAATAATTCAACATTTTTTTAAAAAGTTTTTTTTCACAAATGTTTTTGGAAACACAACGCATAATTTTTGCTGATAAGACAAATCTAAGCTGTGGGTTATAATCAATATTAAAAAAAAANTTAATTTTTTCTAGCTGATGCACAGTATTCATTGAAAATTCGTGAAAAAAAAAATCGTCTACTAAAGACATATTTATGTTGTTGGGTTTCGCTGAGTGAACGATTGCTTCATTCACAATAAACGAAACTGTATTGTATCAATGAAATGTATCGCATTACGAAAGTAGATATTTTTGATCCCCTCAACTTTTCATTTTCGCGCATAAAAAATAACCCTACCTGCCCCCACCCCCCCCCAAAAAAAAAAAAAAAAAAAAAAAAAAAAAAAAAAAAGAACTACTACCACGAAAAATTTAATGTATTTTTAGACTTAAAAATTACAACAAAAAGTATTTTGAAAAAGTATACATGCCCCAGCTTCAATTACTAATAAAATATTATGTTACGGATGTAAAATTAACAGTCTGAAAAAGTAATATTAACATGTCTTAAATTAAATCTAAAAAAATCTAAGTGCCTTCCGTTGAACGTTTCATCATTCTATTCAAAATTTATTTCACCATCACGGCCACAGGATAGACAAGTCATTCAAGCATTACACTCCCACCTCGCTATATTTTCCAATTGCTAATTACTACAAGCGTACCATCATATATTACATGCATACTAAAGGAAAATTCAATAGTTGGTTCCCTCCGTAATTGAGGTTCCGTCTACTGCACGAAGTACATGCGTGCTCGCGTGCAATTAAAATTGCATCTATGTGCCCCTTTGGCGTTTTTAAAGCGACAAAGGCTCTCGTTACTTGCCTTTTTTTCTAAGAAAAATGATATCACGTAGTTTTATAATCATACCTTACTTCCTTTTTTTTTTTTTTTATCTTGTCGCAACAAGTTAACTGGAGTACTTAACAAATTTTTTGCCTTTTACAACTCACTAGTAGCCAAGATGAGGAAGTTGCGTATCGTGCTGATATTTTTTTTTGGAATAAAAGCACATTGCTTTTAAATCTTAAAGTATTGTGAAGTGAGCATATAGTATCGAAACAACGAAAAACAGCCCAAATACTGTATGACACGATTTAAAAAAACAAAATCATGTGATCAATTAATTATTATTTATCTATTTAATAATTAATTATGTATAGGCTGGAATCTTCTTTTTTTTATTACTACCACTCATAAAAATATGTACCTAGCCAAATTTTTTCGTACCAAAATAAAGCATTGCTTCATAACAAAAAAGTGTAACAAAATAATTTTACATACCCTATCTTTTTTTTTTCACAATGCTTATAAAAGTAAAATATCCGGAGAAAAAAAAACATAATTCAAAAAAAAGTTGAGTACGTTCCCTTTAATTTACCTCGTAACGTCTGAAAACACGATCACGCAAAGGTGAGCGATAAACAAAAACCAAGCGCCCCGAAGCGAATATAGTGCCAGCAACTAAATCACCCCGAGCCCGCGTCACTTTGATTACATACAGATTCATGACGTTTCCCACGTACACGCCTCTGACATTCCACACCCCCTGTGTACAGTAATAAACAGTCAGACGTGCGGAATATAATTAGGTGTATAGCCGCGTATATATATATATATGTCCCTCTTGACGGGCACGAAGCCTCACCCAAGGTTTGTGTGTGTGCGTGTATTGACACACGCTTACGAGGCGTGATTTGCAAATTGGACTCTGCCTCGTGTGTGTATCGCCCCTTTGGGAAGCGGAGACGTGAAAATGAGAGAAGTAAAGGAAGGCGAGTTCGGGGTCGAGTGGCGCTAAACGGGGCTCTAACCGATGTGGCTTTGAGCTCTCGTTTTTTTTTTTTTTCCCAACTCAATTTTGTTAACGTGACTCTTTGACTATTGGATTTGTGGATAATCGCTTGACTTTTTTTTCCCTTCGTATCTTTATTCTTCAAAGTCGCATCAAGTGTCAAGATAACACTTTGTTTGCAGTTCTTACAGGAGATAAGCAATCGTGTAATCCCAACTTATAGTGCAGTCCGTCTTGTTTTATCGAAGTTGTGGATTTACCTGATGTTGTTTGCTCGATTTAATCGACGTTTTTGCCGATGATGCGTGATAATTTCGTATCTTCATTTTTTTTAAACAGCCACAAGATCTCGAAATCACATGGATGACTAATTTTTTTAATGCAGGGTGATAAATTTTACTTTTTTTTTTTTTTTTTTTTTTTTT